CGCGGGAAGCCTGCTTCTCCCTCTCCCACTCCCCCTGCTTGTGTTCCCTCTCTCGCTATATCTCGCTGTCAAATAAATAAAATCTTTAAAAAAAAAAAAAACTTCTCAATGAAAGACACTGGAAGAGGATGAAAAGACAAGTCACAGGGAGAAAATCTTTGCAAAACACGTATCTGACAAAGGATTGCTATCCAGAATATATAAGAGCTCTTAAAACTAAACACCAAGAAAACAGACAACCCCATTAAAAAATGGGTAGAAGATCTGAACAGACACCTCACCAAAGATGATGTACAGATGGCAAATAAGCATATGAAAAGATATACAACATCATATGTCATCAGGGAATTCCAAATTAAGCAAAAGTGAGATACTACTAAACACCTATTAGAATGACTCAAGTCCAAAATCTTGACAACACCAAATACTGATGAGGATGCGGAACAACAGGGACTCTCATTTATTGCTGGTGGGAATGTAAAATGGTACAGCCATGCTGGATGAAGGAGTCTGGAAGTTAGTTAGTTTCTAACTTTTTTCTTTCTTTTCTTTCCTTTCTTTCTTTTTCTTCCTTCCTTCCTTCCTTTTTTCTTTCTTTCTCTCCTTCCTTCCTTCCTTTCAGATTTTATTTGAGAGAAAGGAGCGAGCATGAGTGGGGGGAGGGGCAGAGAGGCAGAAGCAGACTCCCCACTGAGCAGGGATCCTGACTTGGGGCCCAATCCCAGGACCCCAAGACCATGACCTGAGCTGAAGGCAGATGCCCAACTGACTGAGCCAGCCAGGCGCCCCTGGAAGTTTCTTACAAAGCTAAATTAAACATTGTCTTACCATATGATCCCATTATCATGCTTCTTGGTATTTACCCAGATAGGTTGAAAACCTATATCCACACAAAAATCTGCCCATGAATATTTATAGCAGCTTTATTCATAATTGCTAAAACTAGGAAGCAACCAAGATGTCTTAAAGTAGATGAATGAATAAACTGTGGTGCATCCAGACATTGGAATACTATTCAGCTATAAAAAGAATTGTTATGGAGGAATCTTAAATGCGTATTGCTAAATGAAAAAGGCCAATCTGAAAAGACTATATACTGTATGATTTTAACTATATGACATTTGGAAGAGGGAGGGTTGAATAGGTAGAGCGTGGGATTTTTAGGGCAGTGAAACTGTCCTGCATGATTCTGTAATGGTGGATGCATGTCATTATATATTTGTCAAAACTCATAGAATGTACAACACAGAGAGAACCCTAATGTAAACTATGGACTTTAGTTAATATTGTATAAACATTGGTTCTTCATCAGTTGTAACAATGGACCACACTGATGTAAGATGTCAATAGTAGGGAAACTGTGTGGTAGGGAGAAGGGGTATATGGGATTTTCTCTACTTTCCACTCAGTTTTTTTCTATAAACATAAAACTGTTTAAAAAAATCTATTAATTGAAAAAGCAGTGCTTGACTGGAAAAGTGATACACATTCACATATATACCTACATTCTACCTGTTGGCATAAAGCTACTCTTATTTATTAATAAGTAGAATACACCTAATATTTTTTAGGCTCTGCTTTTTAAAGGTACACATATCTGATGTTTAAACACATTTTGTTTGATATTTGAGGGTTTTTTTCTCCTTCTGAAGCCATTTATTGAGTGTATACTTTTTGGCAGAAACTTTTAGGTATTTTTCATTTAGTTTGAAGTAGATACTATTTACCCCATTGCACAGATGAAAAAGCTCTGACCCAGAGAAGTGAAGTGGCAAGGCTGGTGCTTGAATCTAGGCCTGTTTGGCTCTAAAACCTGTGTGCTATATATATATAGCCTTTGTAATTCACAAAGACATATTTTTTGAAATTGCTAAAATTTATCCCCTACAGTAAGTGTAAGTGCCTTTAGAGCAAAAATATCATTGAAAGAGATTGTCTAGGTTTGAATCTTGGCTTTACTGTCTACTTTAGCCTTGTGTTTTTAATTAGGTTATATTACCTCTTTATGCTCTCGTTTCCTTATGTGTTGAATGGAGATAGTAATTGAAATTGTGAGGATTAAATGAGTAAATGTATGAAAAGCTTTTAGAACAGTGCCTGGTACAGAATATGAGTTACATAAATGTTAGCTATTAATTAGTAGTGGAATATTTCCTCATTTCATAGATAAAAGAAACTGAGAACCAAAGAAATTAAATGATTTTCTGAGTCTTATAACTTTCTAAAGTCACATAGCTATTAAATGGCAAAGTTGAGGTTTTTTATTTCAAGGTCAGAATTTTATCCACCGTTAATTTGTTTGTTTGTTTTTTAAAGAGAAACTCTAAAAATTTGTCACGGTTTCTCCCTATCTGCTTATAGTCTACCAAATATAATTTAAAAAAATGTTTTTTCTCAATGAGGTTGATATAGTTGGGAAAAAGCATTGGGCTGTGACTTAGGTTCTGGATCAAGAGGCCTGAGTCCCTGGATTAGTTGTGTGACTTTAGTATCTCTTTAGTTCATTTGTAAACTGAAGGGTGGGTGGAATTGGGCCAGATGATTTCTAAGTTGCTTTTATAGCACCAACAATGTGATTTTGAGATACACTGCTTTTATCATGGATTATTGCACGATACTATAATACTGTGAAGTACCTAGAGCTGCTTGATTTATGCATAGAGTGGTTATTCTCTGTGCTAAATGACTGAAGAATGCTGTATTTTGATATTGGTGATCCACAGTTTTTCTGCTACATCAGCTTTTTCTTAGCTTCTTCCCTGCTTTCTTGCTTCTTCTTTTCTTTTAAAGATTTTATTTATTCTATTTGAGGGAGACAGAGAAAGGGAGAGAGAGCACAAGGCGGGGTGGGGGCAGAGAGGGAGAAGCCGACTCCCCGCCAAAGCAGGGAGCCTGACGCGGGGCTGGATCCCAGGACCCTGGGATCATGACCTGAGCCGAAGGCAGACAGTTAACTGACTGAGCTACCCAGGTGCCCCTCTTCCCTGCTTTCAGTTTACTTTCTTAATATGGTTGAATTTTTGGCTTTACCTTTTTACAGAGTGAAGCACATGAACTTTGCTGTCAGTTCTCAAATGAACACATAGCAGTCTTTTTTGGCTGCTGTATTCATAGCTAAACACTGAGTGGCTGAATCCCCTAGAATGGTGAAGTGGGTTTGGGAATGGGAATTGCTGAAAACTTCTTTGTGTAGTACGATCTTTATACGAGAGGATCTTTGAGATGTGTCTTAAACCATGGGATCATGTTTTAGATTGTTTCTTAATTTTGTTGTATGAGAAGACCCTATGAATCGCAGCATGTGTGTGTTCCCACCCTACCTTTGTGTGGTATGTGTAATAAAGTAAGTGTGATTGATTAGTTCAATTACATGATTTTTTTAAAAAAATTAAGTTTCACTAGCTTATTTCAGGTGGATTTTGTAGAGTCAGGGAAGTTGGTGACAGGATATGAATAGTTTTGCATGTGGATCATAGCTGAGTATCATTTTGGGTCTGTTTTTTCATGTGCAGTATTGGGGAGCGTTAAATGGAACTTTTCTGGTTTCAGAAACTCAAAAAGAATTAAAATTTTTTTTAGATTTATTTATTTGAGAGAGAGAGCATGTGAGTGGGGAGGGGGGAGAGGTTCAGGGAGAAGGAGAGAGAGTCTTAAGCAGACTCTGCGCTGAGCACGGAGCCCGATGTGGGGCTCTTGATCTCACAACTCTGAGATCGTGACGTTGGTGGAAACCAAGAGTCAGATGCTTAACTTACTATGCCACCCAGGCACCCCAAGGATTTTTTTCTTTAAGAGAGCAACTAATAGTATTAGGAAACTTACAAAAGTATAGGGGGTTTCTTTATTTAAAGGAAATTTAAACGAAAGATATTGAGATGAAGAGGAAGCTATTTTTTTGTGAGTTTATATATTCTATGGTTTGTAAATAACTTCTGATATCTGCACAGCTAAGCATGTATTCTTATTTGATGGTTGCTCTCTAGTTTTTTGTGTTTTTTTTTTAACATCTTGGCTTATAATTTTATAAGGATTTCATCAGTGCTCAGAAGAGTTTACTTTTACCCCACCTTGAATGAAATCTCATAAAGATGGAGCAAAGGGCTAATAGAATAGTGATTAGGCCTCTGGGCAGAAATACATAGTGGGATTTTGGTGAGAGTCATCCATGGGTAATGAAGTCAGGATCTAGTGAATATTCAGGAGTTTGTCATAACAGCATATATAGGTTGAAGTCAGGAGGCAGGGTCTCTCAGGAGTTAGGCGAACAGAGCCAAAAAAGCGTTCTGAATTTTAGGCCTAAAATGATTAAAGAAGAAACATTGTGCCAACATATACTGGCAATATCAAATGGAAAAACTTTATGGTCTCAATCAATGGTGGTGTATTTTCAGGTGTATTATCTACTTTTTGGATAGGTCTGGCTAATGCCAATTTCTAATTGAAAATCTTAGGGTTAATTGCAGTGTTGTTGCCATGGATAGTAGTATTACTTTTTCAGGTAGTACTTCTTTACTGAATCTCTCTCTTTATTTATCTCATTGAGTGAAAGTCAGCCAGCTGCCACATTGTGACTACCAGGAGTGTTACTTTTTTGGCTATATTACTTAGGCTTTTGGCCCCAGGCCTTCAAAAGATACACTAACTTTTTGTTTGAAATGAGGTCATTTTCCTCTATAAAGATTACTTCTTTTTATATCTTTTTTAATTTTTAAAAATTTATTTGACAGAGAGACAGGGGGGAACACAAGCGGGGGTGGGGTGGAGTGGGAGAGAGAGAATCAGGCTTCCTACTGAGCAGGGAGCCCGATGTGGGGCTTGATCCCAGGACCCTGGGATCATGACCTGAGCTCAAGGCTGACGCTTAACGACTGAGCCACCCAGGCGCCCCAAGATTATTTCTTTTTAGTCAATAACATGTTTATGGGCTCCACACTCAGATATGAAACTAATTGTAAATAATCATTTTTGAAAAGTTTTTCTTTTTCTCTTGCAGGTGTATTCTAGAGAATAAGTCTTCAAACATCTTTGCCATATTGACTCTGAGTTGTCAGGGGACTCAGGCTTATGAGGAGGTACTGTCACACAAAACAGTGTCTAGTGAAGACGACAAGAAAGTGGGGAAAGGATTGGAAAAAGAAGCTAAAACACTATAGAAAACCATGGTGGGTATTATTTGTGTTTCCTTAATTTAGTTATAAAAGATTGCAGTAGTTTAAAATTGGAAATGTTAATAGTGAAGGCAAGTGAAAGACGGTGGTGTTAATTTTTGGCCCTAGTGTATCAGATAAAGATGGTACTCTACTATTTAAGCAAAGCCAATGAGTTCAGATTTATTATGAGCCCTTTAAACCACAAGATGGAGCCCCATGAGCCCTCAGGCCATAAATTATTAAATACAAAGAAGAGAAGGCTCATGAATAATATTTTCTAATAAAACTGGCATTAGCAAACTGATATAAGGATCGCTTAGGTGACCTTGAACTTGAAATTATGTAATTTTTCCTCTAGTCTTCTACCTGAAGTTCAGTTTTTTCCAGTGGAAATTAAAAATCTTGAACTAATCCTTTAATGAGTGATGCGAATGGTGTGGAAGTTTATGAAATATTTGAGTATTGAACTCAAAAAGTTACCTTTTTCCATATGCTTTCAAAATAACACGGTCAAGTGTTGACTGTATTAGGGGCACTGAATCTGACCTCAAGTAAAAATCTTGCTTTTTTGTGGAAAGTTCATACTCAAATTGGATGAGATGTTATATGAGATCATAATATCTGGTGCCTAGTGTTTCAATTGGTAAAATGTGTTGATTTTTTTTCTTCTAGTATTTTGGTTCTGGAGGATGTTGTGTGAATTTTTTCCCTAAGTATAAGTGAGAAAAGGCTTAAAAAAGATGTTATAAGTGGGAGAAAAAGCACAAAAATATTAATCATCAGTATGTTTGAAATATGTTGTTTAGCAAGTCTGATGGTATTTAAGTGTTAGTTGATTTTTAAAAAAATTTGTTCTAGGGATTATAACTTAGTTGACTTGCTCTTAGAGAAGAAATTCTCCAAATATTTTAGTTCTGGATGGTGGGGAAAAATGTTAGTTAACTTGGGATTTTCTCTGTCATTTAGTTTAGGTGAAGTGTAAGGAAGGACACTGTGACTTGTGTTTCCTTGAATATGAATTATGTGCCTCTTCAACTTATTTATTATAGTCTTGATTTTCTTACAATTTAAATGCTTTTTAATATTTTTCATAGTTGATAAAAATTCCTTTCCTAGTTTATTCATTTTAAATTTAGTTTAGATTTTCTGGTGTTTACATAATTTTGTGTTTACATAATTTAATTGGTTGGTAGGTGTTTTCCAATTTCTCTTATTGCTTTACTTCTTAGATCTTAGAGTTGAATGATTAACTTTCTGTTTCTGCATAGTTCTTTCTTTCTTTTTTTTTTTTTAAAGATTTTTTTAATTTATTTGAGAGAGAGAGAATGAGAGAGAGCACATGAGAGGGGGGAGGGTCAGAGGGAGAAGCAGACTCCCTGCCGAGTAGGGAGCCCGATGCGGAACTCAATCCAGGGACTCCAGGATCATGACCTGAGCCGAAGGCAGTCGCTTAACCAACTGAGCCACCTAGGCGCCCTCTGCATAGTTATTTCTAATTTAATTTTTTAAATCTTTAAATAAATCCTTTTGGATCTTGTTGGGGGAAATATGATCGCCCTCTCCAATTTTTTTTTTCCTTTTTTTTGGTAATACTGCTTATTCTTCCTTTCACCATTGTTTCATGATGCTTGTCCTGTCACAAACCGTAGAGTCTTGGATTTAATATTCTTGAGTTAACATTGGCAGCCTGTTATTTAACACCAAAGGTTTGTGGTATGTACCAATATGTCATTTTGTTAAGGCCAGTGTGCAGGACTGAGTAATTTAGCTAACTAAGTAACTTAGTAACTCACCATAAAACTAAATGACAGAGAAGATCCCAAGTGAACATTTTTTCCTCCACCATCCAGAACTAAAATATTAGTAAATTTCTTCTTCTCTAAAGAGCAAGTCAAATAATTTAATAATTTATCTCTAGAACAACCTGGCCATCTCCAGTTTGCTACATGGCTTTTTTGTTTTCTTGTTACTTATTTTGGGATATGTGAATAAATCTCAAGAAGTGATTAAAAATTGTTTTCTTTGTGGCAAAAGACTCCAGTTAGAAAACTGGTTGTGGACTGTGAGCAAGGTAGAAATCTAAACAGAAATGGCTTTTCTCTAGAAAAAAGGAAAGCTTTGTGATTGATTTTAGTCCTTATAATAATTGAAGGTTTCAAAGATTTACTTACCTTTTTAGTTATAGTTTGCTTCATTTTATAGGGGACAGTAATACTGTAGTATTAATTTACTAGTGTCCAAATTAGTATGATTTTTAAACATTAATATTCAAACAAAAACAACGAAAGAGATAAGACTGATAAGGAATTGAGAATATTTTAGTTTGTGGTAGACTTTAGAACAAAATATTTACCATCTACTAACATATAAGTTCATATAAGTAAAGACACTGTAGCCACCCTTTAAATGGAATACTTTGAGCTTTATGGAAACTCACCAACTTATCCCCGTTCATTTTGCAATGTACTGGTACAAGTGTCTTCATGGTATTTGTAAATTTGGAAATATTCAAAAGTTTTTGGAAGTGTGACTCATGAGTGTGAAGGATCTACTCTATTAAATTTTCATGAAATTCACTCTATTTCTAGGCTCTAATCTGCTCCACTGATTTCTGGGCCAGCGTGTCATTTTAATTAGTGCTTTTTAAATTTTTGATATTTTGTTTTAGTGTAACGGTACCACTTATCCATCTTTGTAGAATATTTCTTGATACTTTCATTGATTTTTTTTTTCTCCAGATGAGCTTTAAAATGATTTTTGTTGAGTATTAAGTAAAGATGTCTTGAGGGGATTTTGATTGAGAATGTAATACATTTGTAATTTACCTTGGGAAGTTGATTCTTTTGTAGTATGTATTTTCCCCATTTTGGAGTTTGGAATGTTTCCTGCTAATCTATTTTAAAAAATTAAGGCCTTGCTCCAAGAGTTTGAATGCCAAATAGTAAATAGAGTTTTGATGTGATCCATAGTTTCTCTATAGTGTTGACACATACCTTTGTATTTTATATTATTACTGTATTATGAAATCTCAATATTTCAAGGTGCAAAAGTCTTCAACAATTTGGACAGGAGTGACTGGGTATCATGAGTCACCATCGTGCATTCCTAGATACTTTGTCAAAGCTAGGAAGTATCTGTTTCTCGCAGATGGTGTGTGATACAGATGACCTTTTTTGAAGTAGTATTCAAAATACTAGATTCAGGGGCACCTGGGTGGCTCAGTCATTAAGCGTCTGCCTTCAGCTCAGGTCATGATCCCAGGGTCCTGGGATCGAGCCCCGCATCGGGCTCCCTGCTCGGTGGGAAGCCTGCTTCTCCCTCTTCCACTCCCCCTGCTTGTGTTCCTGCTATCGCTGTCTCTCTCTGTCAAATAAATAAATAAAATATTCAAAATACTAGATTCAGCTAAAAGGTAGCATGTACATGATACCTAGAGTGACCTGTATGAATCTTACTAAAACATGAATGAAAGATCTCTAATTTTCTATTGTGGAGTTCAGTAGAATGAGGTTTTACTTTCTATTGTGTGTATTTTTTTTTTAATTGTCTCAACATTAATTATTTCACAGTAGTTTGACAGTTAATGCTATGACTTGACTTAAATATATTTGTTTCTTTTTTTAATATATTTGTGTATCATGCTTTTCAGGTAACATTACTTTTATTGAAGTAATTGTTTTCTTTCTTCTGACAGAGATCTATTAGATCTTTTGCCAATGATGATCGCCATGTTATGGTGAAACATTCAACAATCTATCCATCTCCAGAGGAACTTGAAGCTGTTCAGAATATGGTGTCTACTGTTGAATGTGCTCTTAAACATGTCTCAGATTGGCTCGATGAAACAAATAAAGGCACAAAAACGGAGGGCGAGACAGAAGTGAAGAAGGATGAGGCCGTAGACACCTATTCCAAGTAAGTGTGGCCTGACCTTTGTGGTGCTTTACTGCAGTGCTCAGAAAAGCTCAGAGTCCTATCCCATTGGGGTTCATTTGGTATATGGTGTTCTTTAGGTTTTCTCATTTATATGACTGTAAACGAGGAAGTAAATGTTCGTGGAATTTTTCCGAGTTACATTTGAAAGGAAGGCAAGAAAGGAATACCAATGAGACCAGGAAAAGAAGATGGACTTGTTCAGGATGCCTTTTGAGAGTGCACCAAGCCCTTTAAAATTGTCATTTTTGGAGATTATGAAATGTCACCTTTTTCATGTGTTGGTTCAGCCTTCTAAATTCAGAAATAGTGTTTTTGGTCTCTGGGGAAATCATAAAATGTCATTTTTTTTTTAGGTATTTAAAAATCCTGGTGGAGAAGAAAGAGTGCAGGAAAATGTGTTCTAAATGTATTTTTGACCGTATCCACCTTGTTGATTTCCAGGATTCAACACAGTGTCTGGCGTGTAGTAAAAATGCTCATTGGATATTTGTGGAATGAATGAAGGACTAACGGGAGCCAGACCCTTCAGCAATTATAGCAGAGTATTCTCAGTGCTGTAACAATAATAAGAGATGAGTGAAATGAAGCTTCATGATAACTGGAGTTAGATCATGAAACTCTGTATGCCCTACTAAGCTTACTGTTTTGAGCAATGTCACTATAATTGGAATAAGTATGATTTACTTTGAAAGAAGAAGCTCATTTGGTTGTACTGTATTTATAGGATTAAGAGCATTGCTTTGGCTACAATTTACAAATTAAAGATAGAGGTTATAGAATTTTTTTTCCAACTTTCAATTCTAAATGTGATAAATAGATAAAGAATAGTGGGGAACTTTTGATAAATTGAATTTCTTAACTGAAAGATAGTGTAACTTTTTCATCTTTAGATGCAAGATAATCAGGATCAGTTCTCAGCTTAAGAACATAATTCCTTGAATTTGTTAACTGTTTACAGGTGATATCTACATTGTATATAGTCCCAGCCTTGTCAGCTTGAGGCTCTTGGGAGTAATTCAATTTTTCTTGCATCTGATGGCTTTAAAATAGATACTGTCAAATTTTGAGGTTTATGTTAATTAGTAGTATCCATTAATCTGGCTCTGTGTATCCCAGTCCCTGTGCAAGTTAAATAGTTGTGCAGTCCATATTTAAATCGTACTTTGGAATGTGTTTATGCCCTTTCGAAAACTTTTTTAAAAATTTTGATAAAATAGGCATAACATAAAATTTACCATTTTTAAGTGGAATTTCATTTATCGTTGGAATTCAGGCCTTCTTAATACTCCTGTTGTTTGTTTTTAAGGCTGTGCAGACTTTTGAAAAGTGCTCCAGCAGACTTTTGCTTAACTGGATCAGGTCACTGTATTTTAAAGGTTTTTAAAAGATAATGTGCTCCACGCTTCCATTTGGGCTTGTAAATATAGCTCTGTGTGTGGGTGCTCTAGACTGTCTTTGTCCCAGGTTGAGCACTTCTCTTGATTCCTCCCATGTGTCGGAACTCAAGGAGGGCAGGATGTTTGGGTCCTTCTTTTGTGTAAAACAGAGGCAGGCACGTCTTCTAAGAACAGAGCTGTCTTCCAGTAATAGACACGGGTTGATCTCCTGATGTATGCTAAAGTACTACAGAAGGCACCAAGATGGGTGAGGGCTAGCTTCTATTTATTAAGCAACTTCTATTGCCAGGCACTGTTAGGCAGCTTTTACCTGTGTGCTCTTATTTTACCTTTTAACAAACTGACTCAAAAGTCAAAGAAAGTTCCCACTATTTGTATGTCTTATTAGGAATATTAGGGTTCTGTTCTCAGTTTTAAGTAATTCTCTATATTTGGGGTGTTTGCTTTACAGTATCCGATATTCAAATTCATTATTCAAATTCAGGACTGAAGTAGGAGTTCCTTTCTCTGCTCAGTCATGCTGTCATCTGCATAAGACCAAGTATATCCTAATTATGACATAGAATTTAATAAGTAATAATGGCTAGTTAATAATAGCTACCATTTATTGAATGCCAGTTACTGTAGCAGACTACTTTTCACATTATCTTACAACAAACCTGCTAGTCTCAGTTATTATCATTCCCTCCTCTGCTCCCTTTTACCTATAGAATTTCTGCTTCAAATTTGTATATGAAAAGAGTGACTCAGAATTATTAACAAACTTTAACGTGCTTGAGGTCAGTGAATGAGTATGTGTGGTGGGTCAGGATTCATATTCATCTGTTGGACTCCAGATCCAATTTTCTTAGCATCTTTGTCTCAGATTCCTGTGACTAAAATGTGAAAGGAAAGAGCAGGGAGAGATTATATGCTGGTTCTGGGGATTAAAAAAACTTTATGAAGGAAGTAGCATTTGCGGTAGGCTCAGAGTATGGGAATACTTTTGGCAGGCAGTTGAAAGTGGAAGAAAAAAATAAATCTCTGCAAAGTTCTAGGTGTGAGAAAGCTTAGGGACCATTTAGGGATTAATAGCTATTGTTCATTGAGCTATTCATGTATGCCAGTATCTGCACTAAGTTCATTACTTACATGATGTTCTTAGGACCACTTGTAAGAAAGGTATTTCTTTTTTTTACAAATGAGAAAGTAAGCTCAAAAGAGTCAGGTAATTTGTAATTTATCCAGTGTCACAATAGTGAGTGGCAGAGCCAGAATTTGAACGATGAAGTCATCTTGTCTTCTCAGTTGCCTCCCAGGATGCTAAGTGCCTAAGTGTTCAGTGGGACACTAGGAAAGTAATAGGCACAGTGCCATCCATGCAGTGCTTTTGGAAGATTATGCTGGTAGTGGTGGTACGCAGTGGATTGGAATGGCAGAAGTTACTCATCAAAGCCAGTGAAGAGATGGTTATCGAAGTAGTCTAGGTGAGACGTAATAAGAGCCTGAACAGAAACTAGTTTGAAGGCATTTGTTTGAGGGTGATCGTGGAGGGAGAATTTATCAACTATTACTAGATTTGGGAGAATGAGAAGATGAGAGGACAGGGATATGGAGGAAGAAAGAATCAAAGGTGATGGACTCTCTTCTTAATATCAAATAATTTTCTATTTGGGTCACTTGCTTTAAAACCCTTTTTCTGTCTATACTTCTACCTCCTTTTATAGTTTTTCATTGATTTAATGTTTATTGAATCTCTAAGGTATGCCAGCCACTTAACCAGTGTCTGGATTATTTGTAACTTCTGTCTTGTTTCTGCTGCCACAGTGTTTCTCTCCCTTATCCTTTCTCTGGTTCATTCTCCACTCCGCTGATTCTTTGCCCCAGCTAGAATGACCTTTTTTTCTCTCTAACCATATCGAGACTGCTGAAGTCAGACTTTGAGGTTGCCTTGCTTGGCCTCTCTAATTTTGACCTCTCCTTCTCCTGAACTTGGGAAGCAGCCATAATAATTTAAAGAACCTGAGCATTGTGATCACACCAACTTGAGTTTGAATCCAGGCTTTGCGTTTTACTCTCTCGGTGAACTTGAACAATTTATTAGCTTTTCTGAGATTGACATCCCTTGTCTTTTACATGCAAGCTTGTTGTGAGGTTTATTTTTTTATTTTTTAAAGATTTTATTTATTTTTGAGAGAGAGCGTGTACACATGGTGGGGAGGGGCAGAGGGAGAAGCCGTTTCCCCGCTAAGCAGGGATTCTGATGCCGGACTCCATCCTAGGACCCCAGGATCATGACCTGAGCCAAAGGCAGACGCTTAACGGACTGAGCCACCCAGGTGCCCTTGTTGTGAGGTTTAAATGAGAGTTTGTGACATTCGGTTTGTTCTCAGATGTTACTTTCTCACCCTTTTAAGCAGGTTACTTTTTGTACTTTACTACAGTATGAGCCTCAGGAGCAGGAGAGATTGGATCTCCTTTAGTATACTTTCCAAACTCAGACACTTGCTTACTTGTTGAATGACTGCTAAGATTAGTTACATTTTCACTTGTGATAAGGGAAATGAACCAATAAGAAATTTTTAGTATTAAAATCAAGGGTAGATATTAACATTATTTTTATGCACCATTCATGACGTGATGTTCTTTGAATGTTTGTTCTTTTAGCCACGACTGGATTTAGAATGCATGTACTGGCAGATTATCTTTGGTCTGTTCCTTCTTTCCTCAGCTCTTTAGTTTTATCACATTGTTCTGCTTTCCCCATAAACTTTTGTGGATTCCTGGAATGATACAGCTAGAAGGGATGAGCTAAGGCTCATGCAGCTGATAGCTGTTTTGCAGTTATGGGTACTGAGCCAGCAGGCACCAGTAAGAATAGAGTTCAGGTGTTTTAGATTTCCACCCTGGTGCTCTTTTTCAGTATACTTTGGTGTTCAGGTTTCTCACAAATTTCTTTAATTACTAATAAAAAGATAAGAGGAGGAAGTTTAAAAATATTTTTAAAAATGTTTAAGGGGATGTAGTACGTATAGACTTTACTAACAAGCACTGTAGCTGTAATAAAGAATTAAAGGATCTGTAGTATGAAATATGCTCCCTATTGATTCCTTGGGGAAGATAGATACTTTATTAGTCTTAAATCTGAGACTTAATTTTTGATGTCTGGATTTATATACTCCTTATCAGTTCGTATGGATATCCAGGAAGCCAAATGATGATTAAGTTATAGTTTGGGAAATAGGTTGTAAAAGTAATCATTTAGACTTTTATTTTTAGGGATCAAGGTGGTCGGACATTGTGTGGTGTAATGAGGATTGGCCTGGTTGCAAAAGGCTTGCTGATTAAAGATGATATGGACTTGGAGCTGGTTTTAATGTGCAAAGACAAACCCACAGAGACCCTGTTAAATACAGTCAAAGATAATCTTCCTATTCAGATTCAGGTGAGTACAGTTTAATTGCACCTCTAGGAGAATTTGTAAAAAGGTGAAAATAGGTAGCGACCTTGATGAAATTAATAATAAGAAATTGGTAATAGTAAAGGGTAGGTGCAGACAAAGGAAATACTGCTACTCTGGGTCAGTGACTCATCCATCACATTTAAAACAAACTTCTGATGATTAGTACTCAGGATATATTTACTAGATTAAGAAGGCTCTTAAGGTACAGTCTTCAATTTTCAGGTATATCTTGCTGAGAGGCTTCATGTTTTTCAGACTAGGTCTCTCAGTTTTATAAACTTCCTGGAAGGGTTGGTATAATGCAGAAAAGATCAAAAAGAGCATAGACAACTAGAAACTTTCATAGGTGATAATAAAATTGAAAACTCAGTTAATTTAACAGTCACCCTTTCATTCTGTTAATAGAAAGTCACTATTAATTCCTTGTTCCAGACCTTTTTTCCAATTGGATGCTTTTAGAAAATTTTGATGTTGGCATGCTTTTTGGAGAATGCTGTGAAGGCGGAAGGCTCCTCAGGGCTGAAGACAGTGGGTTGGTCTGGGGCAGTGCCTGCCCTAGGACCTGCTCTGCCAGTCTGCTCCGAGGGCCAGCTGCATCACTAATTGGAAAGCTGTGATCATCTTTCAGTTTCACATGCGTTGTCTGTGGTATAATCAGATTGTAGCTTTTTGATGATTTCTTATCAGTTAGTCCTTATATCCATGTCATATAGATACCAGCCCTCAGGGTCCCACAGTCCTTTGAGTTGAATGCTGTCTTTTGTTTAGTTCGTTTCTTTTATTTGTATTTCTTCTACCAAGGTTCTTTCTCCCCCCAAGTTATATGAATTCTAAATTTGTTTTTATTAGCTTTGTTACTGGATACTTTTCTTTCACACTTACAAGTTCATCTTCAAGACCATCTCCCTGACTTTTTTATCTCAAATTTGTGTTTAAGTGTCACATTTCCCTATATTAATTTTTGGAGCATTATAGTTTCATTTTGCCTTAGATCTCAAGATATGGTTTTCTAAGTGACTGAACATATATTTGGCTTTTCCATTTTCAGTTCTCATGAAGAAATGTTTTTGCTCTTTCATAAGGTTACATTTATTTCTTCTAAAAATTATTTTAAGTCCTTTTGTTATCATTTGGGAAGGGAGAGTGGTGAGCAACATGGAGTACAATAATAGAGCTTTTTTTTTTAGAGACTGTGTGGGGGTGGGGAATGGGGGTTGGGGGGCAAAGGGAGAGTGAGGGAGAGCATCTTAAGCACAGGGCTCGATGTGGGGCTCAGTACCATGACCCTGAGATCATGACCTGAGCTGAAATCAAGAGTCGGATGCTTAACTGACTGAGCCACCCAGGCCCACCAATAGAGCTTTTAAAAAACAGTGAGCTCAATAACAGGAGTTTCTGGCTAGCTATACTTTCTGTTATTAGAATGTTGATAAAATTCCTCATTTCTATTTTTTATATCATTTTAAAATGTAATCTGTATTCCTGCTTTTATTGCAGTGAACACTGTTACTCTTAAATCTAGGATAAAGTAATAATTCATGGAGGCTTTTCAACCATCTCACCCCTGTTTCTGCTCCCTATAGCGAGTCCTGTTTCTTATGAGAGTGGTCCTATTCCTTAGCTCTGTCAGGGTGGAAAAAGAGTTGAGAAACCAGGGCTATAAATAACTGAAGTTCTTATTCTGAAAATCTGTCATATTTCTCTAGTATTGATATGAGAGATTGGGCCAAATTTCAGTCTGCATTAATAGAGCTTTCTCTGTGCAGATCACAACTGTGTAAACTCTACATTTTTTGTCTCCTTGGTGAGGGTCTTTATTTCTGGGCACCACAGTTTTAAAATGTTCTTACTGAGCTAGCAAGTAAGTGTTCAAGGGAAGAACCCAGAAGAAAGTGCAATCTGTGTAAACCATTTTAAATTTGAAGAGACTGGGGCTTTTTAGGCAAGAGAAGACCAAAAAAAGACACATATCTTTTGGTCTTTGAAGGGCTTCTTAGAGAAGTTAAAAGAGGCTGAACTCTTAAGGCCAGTGGTAGACATTAAGAGAAAAGTATTTCACTTTATCATAGCCAATAGAGTTATCCAACCCTGAAACCAGCTGCTTTGTGTGATGGTTAGATCCATTACTATAGGTTTTTGGGTAGAGGTATCCAGGTAAAATGGGGACATAATTGTATACCCATCCCAAATTAGCCATTGGATAATTGGCTCAGAAAGCCAACATACATGCTCACATACATACATACACACATTATTATTATTACTATTAATATTTCAGAAAATCATTTTAAGCATGATTTCTACCTTTACTCCCTGCCTCCTTGTTTTCTTGGTGTTTGTATGGAAAACCAGTTTCTGATATGATACGATCTTATTTTCTTGTGAATTAAAAATCTTTTTCCTGAGCACTTACCATAGCAGAACTTTCAGTAATTTAAGTACCTTAATTAATTTTGGTTGTACCATACCTTTTCTCTACATACTCTTTTCTAGGTCAATTTTAGAACTTCCTTGAGCAAGGGATAAGGGTGACCAAAACCAGGAATCACTTTTAATTAGCCTAAAACTCATACCGTGGTGATCTGCATGCATAGTTGAAAATTTCGTTTGAATCATTCTCTGCTGGCATCTTTAATGTAAACAGGCTTCTGCTTTTTCTCTGTATTCTAGTTCTGGTTTTTCCAGTGACTGTGTGGGCTTTCCCTTCCTTGGTTTCCTTTATTCAAAATTAGGATAATGAATTTTCTATTTTGCTATCTTTTTTGATATAAATGTTTAATGGTAAAGTGCTATTTTTATGAAAATGGCTTTGAGTTCTTTTAATGCACACTGATATGCAAAGATCTAGTAGTGTTTCCATTCAGCTGTTTATGTCAGGTAATAGATATAAATTTCACCACCAAGAAAGACCCTGTATAACTTATTAAACTATATGTTTAATGTATAATAATATATTAAATATAGCTTAATATGTGACTCTAATTGGTGATTATTTTGTGGAAGGCCCTTAAATTATATGTGTATAATTATATGCTAAAAGAAGCACTGTATGTTTCCCTGTGGATGTCAGGTGACTTGTCCTATAATGATAGGTCTCACTGGAGTGATCTGTGAGACCTACCTATCCTTTGGGAAAGGAAGTTACTTGTTTATACTAATTTTTTTGCTGGTGAGTGACAGTGCAGAGATCCTTTCTCATTCTCTCTTACTTGATTCTCTTTAAAAATCTATATAATCTTATATAAAAATAAATTTATCTTATATTTGTAAGTCCTTAACAAGTAGGAGTTCCTTTTGAGACAGTCCTGTCAAAAAGGGATTTGGTTTAGAGAACATTCTCAGCAATTTATTATTCTACAGTAGTTCTCTGTAAGAATTTTAAGAACAACACTTTACCCATTATCACACAATGATGCTGTTGGTATTTTACTTTCAAATATTAGAAAGAATGGTTTTAAAGATTGTTTAATAATTGTATAGATAGTTGACAATGTGGTTGCATTTTGAGGTGTGGAGAACGAAGATTTGTTGTGGTAAGTTGGGAGGAGAGAGAATTAAACTGAAGAACTAGTTAAAGACTTTACTCTTTCAGCCCAGTATTACTAATAGTTAATAACATTTGAAAACTAAGGGGCAGTCATTCATTTTTTGAGATTTTAATCTAATTAATTAGGTGTTTTTGAAATCTTGGTGACTTTCAGAAACTCACAGAAGAGAAATACCAAGTGGAACAATGCGTAGATGAGGCTTCTATTATAATTCGGAATACAAAAGAGCCCACGCTAACTTTGAAGGTGATACTTACTTCCCCTCTAATTAGGGACGAATTGGAGAAGAAGGATGGAGGTACACATGTATATATTTTTGTTTTGCATAAGACCTCTCTTGAATGCTATGTTAAGTATGCTTAATGGTTTTAAGAAATAACTGTCTTCATTTGTTTTATGCCACTCGTAGTATTTTAAAAAGCTTTATTTCTACACGATTGCCGTATTTTGCAAATATGTATACATTTGAAATATATGTTAATTCAGAAACCTGTTGATTATCATGTTGGTCTTAACTCTGCTTTAATTTTTATACTATTATGGTGTTCTGTTTTATTTTGTCTATTATTACATTGTTATTGGTATCAGCCAAGCTATTCTATGTAGTTTGGCTTTTAGGTCTGATTTAGGATTAAATGTGGTCCAGAACAATATTGTTTTCAAATTTACTCATTGTTTCAAGTTACTCATTTGTACATTGCTCTTGACTTCTAATAACTGTTACAACCTTGTAAGATTTATGCTTTACCTAATTGTCCATGTGTAAATATGTTTTATAATGTAAGAGATATAAACTGGGGGATTGTTTTCTAAAAATTAATCTTTAGTAAATTTTTTTCTAGGAGGTTTGTGATCCTGTTAACATTTCGCATATGATATATGTGGGAATTAATGCTTTAAACTAACCTTCTTCTGAAGTTAAAAAGAATTCTTGTATGGCAGTGTCATCCTCATAAAAGTAGAGTAAGAAATCTGTATTCAGCTTTGAGAAGGAATGATGGAGCTGGACTTCTTTATCTGATGTTTTTATCCTGTCAAGTTAGCTTGTTTCTGCCTCTCATTCCTATCCCTAGAAACACTTGCCATGTGATATTTGTCCTGTGTCAGACCTTTGACCAACTGGCCCTTCTCTGTCATGACAATTTAGAGGCAGTGTTGCTTATCTGGGCCAGTGGGGACTCCCTTAGGATTGCTGTTTTTTCATCACTAGACATTCAACAAGTCCCATTACTTACTCCCCTACCTGAAATACCAGTGCAGTAAGAAATACTGGTCAGTTTCTTAATTTATGTCAAATTGATGATAAAGGTGTAGTAAAAGACACATTAGTGATGTTAGGATTGAGAAATTTCGAGTTTTGGCAGACATGTCTCATAGAATCTCTGTAAAAGTGATATACTCCTTTAAAAAAAAAGTTTTTTTGGAATAACTAAAATCAGCTATACCATGCCCAACAGATATAAAGTAGACACATTATGACTCAAGTTTTAAAATTAAAGTGCATCCAATCTGTAATTGGGTTTATGCCAGTACTTTTTTTTTTTTTGCTGTGTATATATAGTATCTCTAATACCTCTGAAGAACCAATCCTAAGCAGCTTAATTTTTTTAACAGCTTTACAGTTCACCATTAACTGTAGAACTATAAAATGATTTCTGAAGTGTCAAGATAATTCTCTTACTTCTGGTAAGCTGTGTTCTACTTGACCCTCTAGTGTAAAGCCAACCACTTCTAAGGATAGTTATAATTATAGGTATTACTAATTATTTGAGTATAGAGAGATGAAAAAAAAGACTGAAATCACCAAAGACCAGATTAATTCTACATCTGCTTGTAGCTGTAGGCATCTCTTCTGTTATTTCTTTGAAAAAATTAACAAGAACATCAGGCTTCTTTTTTCCCCGTGGTTTTGTATACTTACGTGGGATTAGGTAATAGTTTTCTGTGATACCGTTAAGCTTGGTCTGTTGCCTCTGTAACTTTAATTTCTGTTCACAGAAGCTGGAAACAGATTTTTACTGTACTGCACCCTTATTAGAAAACTAGTTACTGTAGAATAGTCTCTGTTCAAGGTGTTTGGGTTACTAGAGGATCCCAAGACCTCTTTTTGAGCTGAGTCTTATCAGCTGATATTAACAGTATTGTGTGGGATCAGATAAGGTTTAAGAATCTGCCTGGAGCTAATGTGTAAAACATATTACTTCCTCTCTTTTTGAATGGCGGAAAGATTTGTTTTGCAAATATCGTCCTTAACCTCTCAGCCCTGTTGAGTCACTGTTATCTCTTACAATTTGTGCATTTTGTCTAACCTGGGCTTTTTCAAAATGCTTCTTGATCTGCACTGCAGTTTTGCGTATTCCTGAGCAGCTTTTAGGATCCAACATGACTGAGCATTTGAGACCTGGGCTTATGATTCTGTAGGACTTGTTTCCTCCTACCAGACAACTCCTCCCACCTTGATGCAGTTATTTTCAGCTGCATGGGGTGAAAGTACAGGATTCATTTGGGTTCCAGGAATTTCTAAGACTGGGAGATAGCCCCCTTTTCAAAATCTCCACTCCTTTTCTTTCTCAATCTTTAAAAAAATATGCATTGTAACTCTCTTTGAGGAGACATTTTCCTATAGAATCTAAACAGCTCGCCTCCCCACAAAACAAACCAACTTTTCACAGTACGTATACACTCACATCTTTCTCCTCCCTCTCTTCACTTGCTGCATATTTGGGTAAAATCTAAAAAAGGGAAAAAAGCGTGGTTGCAAGCAGGGAGAACCGGAGGACTGGGGCAGGTGAGAACATCACGCTTAACTCCTTCGGGTTGTCTCTGCAGAAGTAGGTCTAACTATTCATTCAGATCGCTACTTAAATTTTTCAGTGGCCAGAGTATATAGTGAATCTCTTTGGTATTGCTTACTCTTTCACAGGTAAGATTCCTCCCATGCTGTCAGTCTTCTTGTCATATTCTAACCCTTTACTTGAAGGCCCTGTAGAATAACCATTCCCCATCACTGTATACTTCCTGCTAAAGAAGGTGCAGGAGAAGAAGCACTTAGTGCCTGGCAGTTAGGTGTTCGATTCTTAACTCCATTAGGTACTCTTGCTGTGTGATCTTGGACAGGTTTCTTCATTTTAAACTGTGGATAAGAAACGCTTGAGAAAGTTGAGGTCAAATGACAGAGTTTATGTAATGTGACCTCTACGATACCTACACAAAGTATTTGCTCACTAGTGGTAGTTACACTTATTCAGCTTATACTAAGAGGACGCCCAGTGCAGACTCACATATGCAAACTGCCTTCAGTTCACAGTGAGAATAACCTGTACTTGATAGATCTGAGGAACTGAACCTAAACACAGGTAAACTCTTAAAGATCCACTGAAGTGTAGTATTAGAACCAGTATACTACTGTTTTTGCTGCAGCGCTTAAAATGAGCTGATTTGTTATATAGCTTTTGATTCATCAAGGGGTGGGTGTATTTTTCCCTACCCATGTCCTTTATTCCTGGTGCCGAGAACGGTACCTAATACACTATAGGTGTGCTGTGCCCCCCACCCCCCCGCCAAAAAAAATCTGTTAAATGAATTTTGGAGCCAGCACATTACCTGATTAAATAGGACTGTGTGGTGTGTAAGAAGCATTAACAATGGGCATCTTGATATTCAAGCAATGCATATTGATGATTCAGCTGTGTTAAAGTGTTTTATAACTTACTGTGTTAGAAGCATTTTCTCATATATGATTTAACCTTCACAACAGCCCTGTGAGGTAGATAACTGCCTTGTTTGATAAATGAGGGAAAACTCAGGTTTTACCCAGCTCCTTCCACTCTAAGTCCAGTGTGCTGTCGGCTCCCATTACTCTCTAGGATGAGTGTTGGAGCCTCTTAGCTGATGTAGTTATTCTCAGCCTTACAGGGTCTCATCTTCTTTTGGTGCTTGTGATTTTAAGAAGTGTATTTGCTGTGAGGGTGGTAAGTTAGCTATTTATTATATTTACAGTGCAGTTCGAAACCAGGTGGATAGGGAACCCACAGCAACTCTTCTGGCTTAGGCTAAGATGAACCTCTGTCCTCAGTATTGGGGTAGACTTTTAGGGGTTCACAACAGAGAAGCTGCCCAAAAGTCCCTTTTCACGTCTTGGTGCCAGTATGAACTTCTGATGCGTCTTGGCAGTTTACTAGCATGAGGCCTGCTAAACAGAAGGCATTAGTCCGGAGATCACAACTGGGATTGTAACGATGCAGTAGGCTTTATTTTCCTGCCTTCCCCAGCTGCTAGACCCACACTATCCAGTGCAAATCTTTAGCCATTATCTTTCCAGTGGCCGGCTGCCTACTGAAGCATTGAAGAAAAGTCATATCGAGTGATGTTTCTACCATAAATTAGGAAAACAGTGCTCTCTGTTCTACCTTAGTGCTACATTTACCTGTCCACATTTTTGTGGCCTGATGTTTTGCATGGACAGTGGCTTGGTGCCTAGTATCTGCTCTTCACAAAGTTTCGAGGAATTGAGAGAAGGGGCTGCCAGGTATCTTCAGGCTAACTAGAAAATTCTGTCAGCATGAATTCAGTAGCTCAACTACATCCAGATTGTCAAGGAGGCCTTTCTGATAACCCCGCTCAGTTATTTTACCTTTGAAGGGCCCAGGTTCCTCACAAATAACTTTGATTTAACACAGTCATGTTCTGGCTTTTCCCCACCCCATCTCCAGGCTAGTGTTTTGTTAACAGAGAGCTGGCTTACGTGTAAAGGGATTGAGAGAAACTGACCAACATTTCCTGCAGTACGGTGTGTTTCTGGTCACTGATCTAACCTCTAACCAAATAAGCAAAGTTAGGCATAGTAGACTTGTCTTCCAGTGCTTCCATTGTTCAGAACGTTTTATGTGCCTTCATGCCCTGATGCCAGGTTACTGAGCCATAAATTTTTAAAAGCTGTTTTTCTTTGCTTTTGGCATTTTTGTCACTCCCCAAGCCCATCCCCTCTGCTGTTTCTCATCTGTTTTACTGGTCACCATAGGAAAATGATATGGCTCACAGTTCCATTGTTTCTAATTTAAAGACTCCAGATGTCTTTTTATCAGAAAAGTTTTGCTTCTCCAACAAAATTGAAATACCTGTGTTAAAGTTCATACAGAAATGTTAAGCCTGAGGTTTTACTATGAGAAGTAGCATTGTTTTTCCACCAGGTGCCCCATAAAACTGTTATTTTTATATAAAGCAAATAGGCAAGCAGGGCTTATAAGTAGCACTACAGTGCGGTATGAATTTATATTGTTTCAAAATAAGAGACTTTGAAGAAGATAAAATGAGATGAGTTATTACATTTCCTCTGCTGTTTCCCACCTCACGAATATTGAAACATTCTGGATCTTTGGACTTTTTTGACTATAAGAGCATGAAGAAACATGGCCATTCTGGTGGTGATGTAAAGGGAGTCCAGTGCAAGCCTTCTTTCTGTTCACTGCCTGTGCCTTTCATCTCTTTTTAGCAAAATCTACTGCCTCCAAATGTTGACTGTCTGAAACAAGATGATGTCTGTTTTTTTTTTTAATAAGAGTTTGTGATTAAAATCTGACCTTGGGGATGAAAGAATTTATCTAAGTATTTTTGCTGTTGTCCCCCTTTAAAAATATCTGTGTTGCAATGAGCATAAGATGTTATTTACAAACTGCGACCACTGGGCAAAAGTACCAGAAAGCTCAAACAGAGCTTTGGTTTGCCTTGTCTTTTCCTATGCAAACTTCCTCTGACTCACACCTGTCTTCCGTTGCCCACTTTTCCAACACTCCTGTTAAGATGATCGAATAAAACTTAGCTTGCCTTACTTTTAACTTGAAGATTAAAGTCTTAAAAAATAAGTACATTCCATGTTTTTTCTTGAGATTACATTACTTAGCAGTCAGTCAACCTTTGTCATGTCTAACTTTTAAGAGATTCTAATCATTCATTTATAGTAGTTTGTTTTATCTGGTACATGAACTTTACACAGATGCTTGTATTGACCACAGTTGAGCATTTTGATATAAAAACATTAAAATGAGTTAATTTATGTTTTATGTTATTAGAAAGAGACAGAATTAAGCAAATCTAGGAACTAGATCATCTGTGAAGTAAATACCCATAGGATATGGCTACATATTCATAGTATATCTATGTTTATAAATTACATTAATAGTTTTTTTTTTTGAGGCTTCCCATTTTATGAGTAAAAAGGGGCAATGAAATGAGACCCTGTGTTTTGAATTTGTGGGCAGAGGTTAATGTGAACCAATGCAAATAATCTGCTGTAGAGCTCACCTGGTCAGAAAATAAGTGTGTAGCACTTCAGCCTTTAGAGCGTTAACAGCCAACAGAGAGCCACAGTTTGTTCTTTCATAGATTTGTTTTCTGTTGGGCATTATGCCTTTGGTTTTAGGTAATGGCATTCTGTCAATTAGAATATTACAGTGTAGTTGCCTTAATAGAATCTTATAGCTGAGGAATCCAAAAGGTATCAGTGATCTTGTCTCCCATTTAAAAATATTTACAATGTATCCCTTGGCCCACACAAACATACTACTTTCTGTGACTGTTAGGATTATACTAGGAAGAAGTGTTGGGTGGACTCTCCTACATCTAAGAGTTCTTACAAGAGAATGGTGAATCTGACTTAAATGGATTAGACAAAGAATTATTCCTCAGGAAGTATTTGTATGTTATGCATTATAAATATTGCACCAAATATTGCTTAAAAACCTACTTCCTAGGAGTTTAGAGGAGATATAAATTTGGCGATCCGAACGTGGATTTAGAATCCTGTGACATCTTCTCAGATATGGATATTTATCATTAATCTCGTGTTTGAATTCTTTTGCTGCTCTGGACCATCTAATCCAACTTTAAAATGTAAAGGCAAGTCAGATAAATGTAATTAGATAGTATTCTTTGCTGCCCCCCCCTTTTTTAAGGTAGATCAAATTTGAAATGTTCCAATGTACTTCATTTTTGTAGTTCTAATAATTTTGTTTTAGAAAAGAAATAATGAGAGAATTTAAGGTGCTGCTTGAAGAGTTCTCATCAGTGGAGCAAAGTTTCTATTAAGGGTTATCTTGCTGGATGAGTTTATTTAGGTGTAAAAAAAATTATATTCAGTGTATTCTTAGTAAATCCCAAATTATTTACATAAAAGAGCCCCAGTTTCCCTCAAGAACTGATCAGCAATTCTTCTGTAAAGGAAAATCGTTATTGCTCCTGGTCCCAGATTTGTGCTCTTTGTGCCCTGCCAAAGGCAAAAGTGCTATGTACCTATTTTGTGCCCCTGTAATGTTATACACATGCTTAATAAGATCCCAGATTGTATGTAGCATCGGTCACGTATTTGTTTACTGAATAAATGCTTTTGTACTCCTCTTGTACCTGTGCACAGAATGGCTCTGATGACTGTTTACTGAAGTAATCATCGTGCACGTAATTTAAGAAGAAAGCAACAAAAACAAAGCCAAATCGTAAAATCTTCTGGGAGTCTTATTAGTTCACTCAGATGCTGCTCTTCTTTTTATTTTTATTGTTTGGTAATTTGACAGGAAACCCTTGGTCAAATTGTATCTGTCTTTCTTTATCCCATTTTCCTATTAGAAAAGGTTGCGTTGAAAGATCCTCCGGACTTATTGGACAGGCAGAAATGCCTGAACGCCTTGGCGTCTCTTCGACATGCCAAATGGTTTCAGGTTGGCTTTTTATTATTTTATTGTTACTGTAACCTTGTGCAGGCTTCATTTGGAACACCTGCCACTTAATGGTTTCTGTGCACGTAATGTATAAAATGGGGGTGCTTTCTATCTTACAGAGTTATTGTAGGAGTATATGAGTTAATTTAGGTAAGGTGCAGAGTATAGCTTCTGCTACAGTTAATGATGTTTAATTATCATATAATCTTTTTTGTCTTAGTACTCTGAATTTCAAATGATGGCTTATAAAATACAAACAGGGATGAGAAAAGCTGGAAGATAAGATAGATAGATGGTTGCCCAGAATGGGATTGCCATGAGGCTATGAAAGCTATTTTAGTAATATGCTTCCTTTACTTTAAAATTTGTCTTTCTAAACTACATTTTTACTGCTTTTAATAACTTAATTTTTTGGTTTGCTTGACAACTAATGAATGAGTGGCTAATTAGTATTCACTTTAAAGAACCTATCCATGATCCGTGTGCTTAAAATGAAGACTGGATTTCAACAGGGGTATTGGAATCATTTTGTTTGTTTTAGGCAAGGGCAAACGGATTAAAATCATGTGTAATTGTCCTCCGCATTCTGCGTGATTTGTGCAACAGAGTTCCCACATGGGCACCATTAAAAGGATGGGTAAGTACTTATGGTTAAAAGCAAGTTCTGTAGCCATAGTCAGAGGAAATCCTGTAGAAATTACTTGTTACTGTAAAATGGCTACATTCTGAGTTAGGTGTGCATTATCTATTCTCTAGAAAAAAATTGTACATCTTTTTATATACTTTTTTTACACATATAACCTGTCTCTTCTACCTCATCATATTCATATTACAGAGCCTGAGATATTTTTCTGACAAAAAGGTTCTATACCTGTTAGAAGTGACTGTCTTCTTGCACTTTACTCTGTACTGATGGTTGATTACTATTCACCTACTGCCCGTGAAAGCCTCCTTAACTGGCACATTTCTCTTTCAGGGCTACTTCCATTTAAAATAAAAATTACCTGATATGCCTGTATATGGCTCCCATATCCTCTTTTTCTTTATCTTTGAGTGTAGACACTTTGATATAAGTTTGTTTTAGTAAGTAAAGTCGGGCAAATAGTACACTTGACACAATTTTGGACGTCGTTTATAATGTATATTGCAAAACTTATTTCATTTGGAAATTATTATGCTTGGCCCAGTCAAGACCACAGTGAAGAACGTTATAAAACAAATAAAGCTGTAAGGGTCATTTTAGATTAATCTAACAATTATTACTTTGTTATAGTACATGAGGTTTTAGTTTATTTAGTTTATTAACTATGGAGATTTGGTCTTTCGTTTATTCTAATTGTAGTACTTGGGACAGGCTGTCTGAAGTGAAGTTGTAGGTGGTTTGAGTGCTTCCTAGGTTAAGTAGGAGATAGGTGGGCTGGTTTTGAACATTGATTAGTTAATTAGCTATTACTAACGTAGACGAAAGCTTGTTAAATCCTTGTTAAATCAACTAGGTGACCACAGTTTCTTAAGTGATCCTTTCAGGGTAACCAAAACCAAAGTTTTTGTAACAAAATGTCTTCTGAATATGTTACCTCAAAAATGATTGATTTAAAAACTCTGGCTGGGATAAAAGTTGATAATCAAGCAGGAAAAGTTTAATTGGGCCCTAAATATTAAATTGACTTTCACCTTTTTGGCCTCCATTGTAGTTAGAAATGTCAGCTCACATTTAACTGGAATCCTTTTAACACTTGGTGCATGTACTAATTTGTAATTTAATATCTTCTAGCCACTAGAACTTATATGTGAAAAGTCTATAGGTACTTGTAATAGACCTTTGGGCGCTGGGGAGGCCTTGAGACGAGTAATGGAGTGTTTGGCATCTGGAATACTACTTCCTGGTAAGGGTTTCAAACTCTGGAGGCAGAAGAATCAGAAACATTTCATTTTAGTTTATTTTTTTGAATATGTGCTAAATTTGTCCTCTGCACAGGAAAATGATGTGTAGGTGTTGTTTTGCTTGGAATGTTAGCAACTAGAATGTTTGAATGTTGGAAAAGTGCTATAAAACTCTCTCTTTCAATAACTGTAATTTATGTTTTATATGTACTAACATAAAAGGTACTAATAAGATATTGTGTCTGCTATGAATTTGCTTTACCTAGAGCTCTGAATTTGAAAATGTAGATGTTTGGTTAAAATGTATGAAGTTCATTCTGTTTGCAGTCTGGTGTTTAATTTGGAAAAATTAAATTTTGTCTTATTTTACATATGTAATCCCTTTAAAGATCTGGGATGGTTCATCATGCTGTTTCTAAATTCTCAGAGTAAGACCCAATTTTGTCCTTAGATACGCAAGTGACTTCCAGTAAAATAAGGACATTTAAGTGTTAACATATTGAAAATGAGAGAGTCCTTTTTATTCCATTTAATTGAGCAGACTTTTAACCTAGTTCCTCAGTTTTTGTTTTTGTTTTTGTTTTTCTCTCCATTCTTTTCTCTCTTTTGTGTTAGTTCATGGAATTCTAAACTCAGTTCTAAGTGGTGCTTGTGTTTTTCTTTTGCCTTTGCCAAAGGGGGTCCTGGTCTACATGATCCTTGTGAGCGAGACCCAACAGATGCTCTCAGCTATATGACCATCCAGCAAAAAGAAGATATTACCCACAGCGCACAGGTAAAAGATGGGACATGTCACAATGATCTGTTTAGAGAAAGATCATATCTTCATTTTCTGAATCATTCCATTTAAACACTTTTTTTCTTGTCTGTTATTAGGGACTTTTGCCATCATAAGCATAACATTTAATGAATGTCTTTTTAGTTACTTGTACTAAAGACTTTATGAATGGCCATTGAAATTTGAATAAATAAATCTTTTGTTCTTTAGCATGCACTCAGACTATCAGCCTTTGGCCAGATTTATAAAGTGCTGGAGATGGACCCCCTTCCATCTAGTAAGCCTTTTCAGAAATATTCCTGGTCAGTTACTGATAAAGAAGGTGAGTGTTTTATTGGGGGTGGACGTGGGCAGTGGTGGAAATGGTCACGGACTGCATCTCTTGTTAGAGTGGAGCGAACTTTATTGTTAATCCAAGTTGTGTATTGCTTTTCTTCTTGACTTTCTTCTCTTCTCTCTCATCGGTAACATCAGCTTACTACCGTTTATTCTTAGTAGTGACAAACTCACTTAGCTACATTGGCCAGATTCCAATCTATCCAGTTTACTGAACAGATTTAGAGACCACACTTTGAGAACTGGTGGTCGAAGGGGAAAAGATGAGCCGTAAGCTGAGAATAGATGTTATCATAGTCACTGACCAGTTAGATCTTTGTCATGCTTGGAAGTGTTATGTAACTAAGAAAGAGATCTAGAGGAGGAGAAAAGCATACTGGAAAATTCAGAACTATTGCATTTGACCTAGTCTGTCTGAACTCACAGTTTCAACAGACAGAGCACAGACTTTGGGGTCAGTATGACCTCGGTTGGTTCCAGTCAAAGCTCCACTACTTACTAGCTTTAGGCCTTGAGCAATGGGTTCATCTCTCTCTGTGGGGATATAACCCCCACTTTATTGGCTGATGTCAGATTAAAATGCCTAACTCAGTGTCTGGATTACAGCAGATACTCCGATGTGAATCACTTACTCACCTCATTGTGCACAGTACATGTTTTCCCCCCTTCCCTTATCTCCTGTTATGCTAGAAAGTGGGATGTTTAACATAAGTTATTCTTCACCTGGGACTCAGCCCATCTCCCACAATGGATATTATTCTAATAATTTTTATATGATAAAAATAGTGCGATGGCTCAATCTATTTATTTAGACGACAGAATTCCAGTGGGTTAACAGACTTTTCAGGGAGTCCACAAAACCAAAACTATTTCATAATAATACTAAGGCTTTTTTTTTTTTTTTTGTCTTTTCCATTCTTTGTCTCATGAGTGTACAGTTTTCCAGAGGCTGCATGTGACATGTGATAGCATTATCACTCTGGCTAATGGAATGTTTTTTTGTGTAATCCTATATTAAAGTTGTTTTAATTTCTAATATGATAAATGTTGATATTACCCAAAAAACAAAGCTCTTTGAGTGTTCAGTAATTTTTTAAGAGGATAAAGTGGTCCTGAGATTAAAAATTTGAGGGGTGCCTGGGTGGCACAGTCGGTTGAGTGTCTGCCTTCAGCTCAGGTCATGATTCCAGGA